TGAAATAACTTGACGGGGAGTAAATGATGACAGAATTTTCATTTTGAAGTAAACTATCCCTTTAAGCTATGGGGTACAGTGTATACTGTGGTATTTCCAAAAACATGCTTATGTTTGTGCTCAACACTGGTCTTTCACAGTGACCTTACGTGACGTTTTGCATTAATCTAAACCAAATGCTTTCCAATTCCCATTTATGCTCCTGTTTGTTTGTTTTTTAAGAGAGCCATTTTGTTGAAATTAGCCGTTCATGTTTCCAAGAACAATGCTCATTTACGCACTGTGTGGTAGCACAGCTCTCCCTTGTTTCCTATTTTGATGTTGTTGATCGCGTTTGGGGGCTGATTTACAGTCATGTACTTCTCAGGATTCTTTGCTCAAGCAGGGGATGTTAGTGGGAGGTGGTTGTGGACCCACGCACACAAAAGGAAAGACCCAGCATGTGCCATAACCACAGCTGACACCAACAAACAGCTGCTGATGCTTGAGAAAAACATCAGAATATAATACCAACATTTCAGGATGATGACTGTGCTGTTCTGTGTATCTGTGCTACACATGATTTGATAAAATCAGATACAAACGCGTGGAAGATTCTGAGAAGCAGGAAATGAGAGATATTGTTTGGAGGCGAGCATGATTACACTCAGTGGAAAAGCAGAAAGAGTGGAAAAGTATTATGTCAGAAGGACGATATAAATACCTCATGCTCTTCTTGAGGTGGAGGGACGGGTTAACGCGGTACGCCACCGCATCGGGTCCGGACCCATTGACCCTTCTCACCCCGCTCGACTCGGACAAGCCGAACTCTTCCAACAGGTCATACGCTGAAGATGAGAGCAAATGGAGCGATCAGAAGGGGGAAAGTCAAGCAAATGGACTTAAGCTTCAAGATTTGCAGATTTGTCACGTTTTATTCACTAGTAAATGAAAGAATAGAAACATTTGGATATGGAATCTGGAGATTGAATTAAGCTGACACATCAATTTCCAAAAAAAAAAAAAAGCCATGACAGAGTTCAATCTTCATCAAGTAACCCTACGGCACAGATGGTGACACACTGGCCAGAAACCACTTAAAGTGGTCCGTGCTTCCCTCTACTGGTCAATAAGAGGAGCAAATGTACGCTTTCATAGCTAGATTGACTTTCTGCCTGATCCATTTCATTTACACCGAAACAATAATCCTCATATGAAACTGCATTTTGTGGCCAGTTCGATTCTTACTTGGTAATTCCTGACATCTGACCAGGCCAAAGACAGCCAGGAGGATTGTGAAAACCAGCATTTTGTTCAAAGCTGGAAGTTTGGAAATCAAGACGGTCAGGATTTAAATGTGCCTGTAAAAGAGAGAAAGATAAGATGGAACGAACTGTGAAAACTTCACATGGAGAGCCTGTATAATCGAACTACACAAGTGTATAATATGCAGTAAATGTCCGGAAAATGGTACATAAATGCTTCTATTAACAAAAACAATTGAAACAATGCATTTGAAATGGGAAGGAGGTAAAACATTCACTTCACAAACATTAAATTGCTTGTATCTAATCACATTGTGAACAACTATTTATTTTTAAGGAAAATATTTCCGATTTTTCTATTACTACACTGTAAAAATGAATATGCCTTATCTAATCAATACAATTGTGGCAACAGATTACAAACAATATTATTATTTAAATTCAACAAATTAGAATTGAGTAATAATTAATCAAATTATTTAAAATGAGTAAAGTTTACACCAAAAAATTAAACTACAATATCTGAATAACAGACAGACGTCAAAGATTAATTAGGAACTCTTTATTTTAAATTTCCAACATTGAAGATTCATAGAGCCTGATGTTAACAAGCAGAATCACTGAAGGAGAAAACAAACACCGATCACCATAATGGTGACTTAACTGTACTTTTTTTTGGTACGTTTTACTCGCACTGAAAAAAAATAATATGCTTTATCTAATCAATAAAATCGTGGCAACATATTACAAGCAATATTATTAGTTAAATTGTACAAATTAGAACTAATTAGAATGTTAATTTGATTAACTATTACTCAATTCTAATTTGTTCAATATTACTTGTAATCTGTTGGCACAATTTTATTGATTAGATAAGGCATATTCATTTTTACAGTGCATGTTAAGGAATTAATTTGATTAATTTTTACTCAATTCTATTGCTTATAATCTGTTGCAGCAATTTTTTTTGATTAGATAAAGGGCATTAATTACAGTGTATTTTAGTGAGTTTAGAATACTAGGACAATCAATATATAAAAATAAACAAAAACACACTAATTGATGCAATAAACAGTACAATAAATTCACTATCAACTTTACAGTATAAAGATTTGAACTGGAATTGCAGCTCCCTTTTTAAATGAACTAAAGAGTAGCTTATAAGCTATAAAACACACAGTGTACTTACATATTCCTGTGACGCTGTTCACTGCAGATTGGTCCTGGGCTGTTCCAGCAGTGATCATAAAGGCATTTTTAAAGCAGCATCTCTGGTCCCGATGTGACTGAGATGAACCTCCACTCGAGGCCTTCATGCCTCCAGCACATTATCCTATGCAAACACTGACCTCCACATTCTTCACACAGCCATTCTGCAGTCAAACGTTGCATTTGGGGACGTTTTTATCCATGCTGGTGTGTTTATGCACATTCATAGAGCCTTCGTGCAGTTCGGCAAATATTCTATGGCTTCTGATCCCCAAAAATGACATGAAATGCTTTCATAACAAGTAGATTATATTTATTTTCTTCCACTTTGGGCAGACCAAGCATTAATTAATTCAGCATTAATTTGAACTAACTCTGCTAGCTGGACTTTCAGATAGGATAGACACCAAGAACAAGAAAAGTCCAACTGTATCTCTGTTAAGCTTTGGGCAGACAGTGGATCACTGTGCAGATAGCGCACTAGGAGATAGATGTAGTATGTCACAGATAGGCACTAGCAGAGCTCTGCAAACATTCTCTAGGCCACAAACTGACCTATTAACCAGACCTCAGTATATGTTTCATAATGTTGCATATATAACAGCAACAGAAAACACTAAGTCAAGCCTTTTTAGTTGTTCACATTTTAAATCCAGCATTTACTAATTACTTTCAGAGTTGTTTTGCCTTTCTTTTATTTTCTCTTCAGAGATGGCGTTTCTCAGGAGCGATTACCCCAGCTCCTCCTGTCTCAGTCAGGGTTTGACCTTCTCATTCCCCTCCAATCAGAATACATTCTCCAGTTATGTCGTACTTAAAATATTAACATAGTTATTGAGTAGTTCAACTTTTGCTGATAATTTACTCGCCCCCATGTCATCCAAGATGTCCATGTCTTTCTTTCTTCAGTCGAAAAGAAATGAAGGTTTTTGATGAAAACATTCCAGGATTTTCTCCATATAATGGACTTCAATGGGAACCAAACGGGTCAAGGTCCAAAAGACAGTTTCAGTGCAAACTGTTCAAAGGGCTTTAAACGACTCCAGACGATGAATAAGGGTCTTATCAAGCGAAACGATCGCTCATTTAATAAATAAATAACAAAGTTTAAGTTTTATAAGCTCAAATGCTCGCCTTGCTCTGTTCTGTGATGAGCGTTCGTGACTCTCCTGTTCGAACTCGTTCATCAAAATGAACAAATCTTTCCCCGAGTCAACTCGTTCGCTTCGTTCGTTGAATGAACCAAATGACAAGAAAAAAGATTCATTCATTTTGATGAACGAGTTCGAACAGGAGAGTCACGAACGCGCATCACAGAACAGAGCAAGGCGAGCATTTGAGCTTATAAAACTTAAAATTTCTTTATTTTTTAAAACGAGCGATCGTTTCGCCTGATAAGACCCTTATTCATCGTCTGGAATCGTTTAAAGCCCTTTGAACAGTTTGCACTGAAACTGTCTTTGACCTTGAACCGTTTGTTCCCTATCAGGGAACTTCGAGCTGCGTGTAACCGCTATGGGAACGCCCCTGCGTTGTGCGTCCTGAAGCACGTATGGAATCAGCCCAATGGAGAGACGCAACATCCTAGGCGGGTGACGTCATCGACCAGGAAACTATAAATCACCCCGAAAACATCAGCGCAACAGCTTCTGTGCCTTCAGTCGCGCTATGTGTGTAAACACTGTGTCTGCCCTTAGTATTTGCTAGGCAGGAGTTCTCCCCGCGGTTCGGGCGACGCTTATCATGGGGATCGCAAATGGATCTTTCAGCGGGGTTAGAGACGGGCTCTGCCTCTCTGCCTTTACCTGTTAGATCCAGTGTCTCAGCCCCGGTTCGGAAGCACGCTCTGCGGTTTCTTTCGTCTCTCCATTGGACTTATTCCATACGTGCTTCAGGACGCAGGGGCGTTCCCATAGCAGTTACACGCAGCGTCTCATTCCCTTCAGGGAACTACTCCTTTAATGATATCTGCAATACGTACATGTTGGTTCTGTTCTGACCACTATCTTCAAATATGATTGGCAATTAGCATACAGTTTGCAGTCTGTTCTGTTGCTCTTATCCATGCTAGGCTGAAGGGACTTATTGCCCATTTATCGTATTTGACCATAGTAGTCCTGACCGAATGATGACTCTAGTAATTACTGAAGGTTTTTGTAAGGTTTTGAATAGTATTTCCTTCTGATGGATTTGGTAACACTTGAGTCTTATAAGTAATTATACATTATTAACATTAATGAATTGGGATGCAACTCGACTCTAAAAAGTAAAATGGTTTCCATTGGGTATGACACCTGCTCCTTGGGATGACCTAAAATCTCAGCTTTATTTATTTATTTGATGGAAAGTGTGTTGTTCCTCCACCTGACCACTGCCTTCTTTACCTTAATAAAACCTTCATTTCCCTAGACATTTTCTCATCTGTTGTCATTTCTAAAAAAAACACTAAAGTCGTCCACTTTTTGTCCTTTTATGCATTTCCATCTGCTTTGGCATGTCGAGCACATTCTGTCAAGTGATGCCAGTATTTATTTATTTTTCTCCCAGGGTCCACTTGACGGTCTTTAAAGATTCAACCCTTTTGAATGACCCTATTCAAGCCGCCAACCACTCTGCCGGGATGCTCATGGCAATCGTTGCGGATCCTATCAGTCCGTCCCCTAGGACTTGAGTAATCAACATAAGTCAAACCCACCGGATGTGGTGAGAACATCTTTACTGTACTTGAGAAACAGCTGGTAATGCTTTCTGGGACATTGGTGACATAATTAGGCCAGCCTGTGTTCCCCATAATGAATCACCATTTGCAGCACTGTATCTTCTTTTGAACGTGGACCGTTTCAGATGGAACATGGGCCTTGACGGATGTGTTGAGTCATTATGGGCCTCATTGTCATTTTTGGAGGCTTTTGTGGTCCACTGCGAACCTAAAACACAAACTACTGCCAGTGAACTTTACCAAATCCAGTGATTCACTCTTCCCTTGAGCACTCATTATAGATCAACCCGATGCCTTCCACTTCAGCTGTTGGAAAGGGCAAAAGAAGCCAGCAAATCAGGCACTTTTTACTTAGCTACTTAAAGTAGAATAGATTTTATTCATCTATCACTGGGTGTAAGAACTGATTATTCCAATTATACTAATTATTAAAGTAGTTCACTTTTCAAAAAACTTTTGCTGATAATTTACTCGCCCCCATGTCATCCAAGATGTCTTTCTTTCTTTAGTCGAAAAGAAATGAAGGTTTTTGATGAAACACATTCCAGGATTTTCTCCATATAATGGACTTCAATGGGGTCCAAACGGTTCAAGGTTTCAGTGCTGTTCAAAGGGCTTTAAACGATTCCAGACGATGAATAAGGGTCTTACCTAGGACCATTTAAGCTTATAAAACGTAAACTTTGTTATTTATTTATTAAATGAGCGATCGTTTCGCTTGATAAGACCCTTATTCATCGTCTGGAATCGTTTAAAGCCCTTTGAACAGTTTGCACTGAAACTCTCATTTGGACCTTGAACCGTTTGGTTCCCATTGAAGTCCATTATATGGAGAAAATCCTGGAATGTTTTCATCAAAAACCTTCATTTCTTTTCGACTGAAGAAAGAAAGACATGGACATCTTGGGATATCAGATTTGGTTATCTTGAGTAGAGACACATTTCTGGGAGAATATACGTTGACGAGAATTAGCTGATCAAACGCTAGTGTTTGGTGCAGAACTCACTTTTTTCCCTTCTCTCTGATGTTGTGGAAGGCTAGGTTGTCCATATCCTATGTTGAGGATTAACTGACCTCACTATAGCTCATCTGATTACACTCTGACATACTAACATTAATCCAGCCAACATTAAAGGCCATCTGGCATCTACACAAGATTGTTTTGGTTCTGTTCACGGGGACTGCCAGAGGCTACAAGGCTGATATGGCATTTTATTCCAATAAAACATTTTATTTTCTTCTGAAGTCTTGTTAATCTCAGGCCCGAGACATTATTTTGTAAATGTTCAGAAGTCAGATAGTTTGGGGTGAATGGAAACAAGCGAGTCTGTGATTGTTGTGTATATTGTTGAGCTTTCTGCAAGCATATTTATTACAAAAAGTTGAGTAATTTGCATCACTCAGGCAAAAAGAAACCATAAATACACACAGGCATTGCACTTAATGAATGTTTTTTAGTCAGAAAGTTTGTGATTTGATGAAATGAACAATACAGCAGACGCTAGAGACGAGTGTTATAAGTTTAAAGGCCATGATCAGGTTAGTTGTAGTGTATGATTGCAGTGGTTACAGTATTGTATTGCCCTTTAAATGCATAACAGCAGCTTGTCATTGCACTTTAAATAGATGAATAAATAACGGCGGTGTCCTGGCAGAATACAGGGGCATATTATCACCAACAGGAGGAAACGACTGTACATTCAGCTTCTCCCTCGACACGGACATGTGGAAAAGTGTTAGGTAGCCTAACAACGTACAGTCTTGTGTTCGCTGATCTTTCCCAGCGATCAAACTAAATATTAATGACGTTCACATAGAGTACAGGACAAATACACAAAGCCGTTGCATTCCACACACACACTTCCTTTTTCACCTTCACAACAGAATAATTTACATCTCGCTACGCTTTTTAAAAATGAGAACAAAACACTTTGCAGTCTTTAGTGTGGATGTACGCGTGTCCAGTCTGACCAGTGCTGCCAGAACGAGGGCTTGTACCGTGGACTGGACTCTTGACTATCTCTTGCTGGTCTTGGCCAGTTTGCTAGTAGGGGTGCTCCTCCTTTGGGGAGTTGGGATCTTGGAGGGCTTCCCCCCGTGATGGCGAGAGGATGAGCGTGGCCGTCCTGAGTCGGTCACGTTCTCCGACGCGTCCGAGCAAACTGACTGGATGTCCGAGATATCGAAGTCTGAGGCGTCGCTGCCGCGCCGACTGCTCCCTCGGCTTCCCGCTTTACTGCCAGGCCTGCTCGAGATCTTACTCAACCCTGAGGAGAATGTTTAAAGCCAGTTACAGATCAGTGTTATGATACTCACATTAACACAACGGCTTGTGACTATTAAGATATTGATGTATCTATATGTTGATCCCCCCCCCCAACCCCCAAAGGAACCAGAATCATTTCATCCAAACTACCACTGATGACAAAATGTAGATTCAAAATCATGTTTTTCAACACTGCTGTTCGCAAAAAAAATCATATGATTGATTTAATTATTCACAAAACAATACATGGTAATAGACGGGAATATTTAAAGCCGCAAGGGCCCTCCCACCCGGTGGCTTTAGGAAGACAGAGCATGGTGGGCATTGTGCTTTTAGTTAGGTAAATATAGGTGAAGTATGTCAATGCCAGTTAAAAAATGTCCTTTATTATGGGGATATTAGTCAGACAAGTGTTGCTAGCATGTTTCTAGCATGTTTAGAAGTCAATGGCATATTTAATATGTTGGTAGTACTACATAACGCTGTTAAATATGTCACTTCTTGTTGCCAGTAGGTGGCGCTATAACTATATTTTGGAATTTAGATGTCTTCAGACTAGGACACTTATAAAACATGTTAAATTTGGAGCACATTGGAAATTGCATGCTTAAGTTACAATTTGCATGTGTAGTATGTGTTAAAGTGTTTGCTAGCATTCTAGTATGTTGTTAGCATGTTTGGCATTTGGTGGCACTTTTTTATATGTTTATTAGGAGTCCATAACAGTGTTAAACATGCCACTTCTTGTTGCCAGTAGGTGGCGCTATTGCTATAACTGAATATTGTCATGTAGATGTGTTCAGGCCATGACTCTTATCAAACGTGTGAAGTTTGGGGCAGATTGGACATACCATGCTTGAGTTACAGCAAATTCCTATTTAATTGCAGTTATAGCATGCTTTAGCACTTAGCTAAGTGTTTGCTAGCATGTTTTAGCACGTTCCAAGCATGTTTGGCATTTGGTGGCACTTTTTTTATATGTTATTAGGAGTCCACAACAGTGTTAAACATGTCACTTCCTGTTGCCAGCAGGTGGCGCTGTGACTGTAACTTAATATGAGCATGGTCATGTGTTCAGGACTCTTCAGAACTCTTATCAAATGTGGGAAGTTTGGGGCAGATTGGACATTGTTTGCCTGAGTTACAGCAACTTCCTGTTTCATGGCGAAACATCGAAATTTGTCAGGCCGCTGAGGACACGCCCTTCGACGAAAACTCAAGGATTTCGCAATTTAACATCGCAAAGTCCTTAAGATTACACACACCAAATTTGTAAAGTCTTTTATAGCCAATATTTTATATTTGTTATCCCCAATCACTCTCTCGTTTTCTTTAAACGCGAGATTAGTAGGATCTAGTGGTGTCGGGATGAAAATCATTTTAGGCAGATAGTGGGTGAACCGTGTAAAAAACAAGTTCTATAGATTCTCATAATAACATGAGACAAGGAAGTAGAGTAAAACCAGTCTGTCAACATCAACAGCAAGAAAAGTTTACTGAAGAGCAAAAGGTTTGTCCGCCTCACCCATGGCTTGACCTCTGGCCTTCATGACGGCAGCGTTGATCAGGCTTCCATCCTCTCCCGACTGAAAGCCTTTTCCTGACAAATATCCTGGAAGACGAAGCTTGCTGCCCTGAATGGGGGTGTTCTGAAAGATGATTTAGAAACAAATGGGCCATTTAGAAGAGGATAATGAGGACGTAATTGTTAATTCACTGTTCGTCGAGAAGAGAAGATGTCTATACCTAACATGCTGGCAATAAGGACTTTTGCACCGGAGGAACGTTTTCATACTTCCTATCATGTTGCTGAAAGTACCCGCTTTTTGGCGTGTTCACACCGCAGGGACTTTAGACTAAACAATGATTTTAGACTAAACTAGAATGTACATTTCCAGAAGAAAATGTTAAGTGGTGCTTGCAGTGGCAAAACTCACCTCTCGGTTGCTAGGGTGTTGTGCATGATTGCATATGAGCTAAAAATGATGTCTGTATGATGTTCTGGTGCTGAGATATGGCTTAATCATGTGTTCCGGTGGTTGCTAGGATGTACTTGGTGGTTGCTAGGGTGTTCTGGGTGGTTGCTAAGGTGTTCTGGGTGGTTGCTATAGTGTTTCTCGGCGGTTGCTATGGTGTTCTGGTTGGTTGCTAGGCAGTTGCTAGGGTTTTCTGCTGGTTGCTGGTGTGTTGCTTAGCTCCTAGAGCTGGGGTGGGCAAACTTTTTGGCTCAAGGGCCACACTGGGTTTTAAAATTTGACAGAGGGCCGGCCCAGTGGCAGATTATACCAACAAACACATTTACGTGGATCACGTAATTTACGTGGTATATTAATTATGCTATAGATATCCCCATTTAGCATTGTTATATTTTGGGGTTATTTTTTTATTTAATTTTATATTTATTTTAATTTTATATACATTTATGTTCTTTTTAAATATTGTTTATCCTTAGAATTATTTAATGAGCCTAACAGTAAATTAGAAACAAAACACCAGCAAGTGTACAATTAGTAGAGTACCTTATGGAGTTTTAATAAAGTTGAATTAATGTAACCTTCTCCAATTTTTAATCAAATTGCACTTAATACACAAACGTCATAGATTTGTGAAAAAATAAAATAAAAATAAACAAATTAACCAATTTATTTTAAATATGATAAATAAAACTTAAAAATCAAAAGCAGATAAGAACATTTATTGAACAAAACCGGTTTCTGTACATGGCAGAGACGGGAGCGTAGTCGAAAGCCGGGCGATAAAGGTCGGTAACCGGAAGCAGTCCAAGAGAGAAATACAGAGGAGCAAAGAAACTAAATATCAAATGAAAAAATAAAAAAATCAAATGAAAACTAATCAGGCGTACAAGTGGTTACTAACATTGTTTTTTTTTTTCTCTGTGAGTTTCCTAAAAAGGAAAAAACATTAATAAAGAGCCTTGTTGCGCTTAAGTCACTGTCTGAAGGAGTGCTGAAATGTCAATGATTCAATCGTGTCAACGTTCTGTTTCCTGGGAAAAAATACACAAAAATACACTGTTTTCCTTTCCATTAGTTATAAAATGCATATAAAAAATTACAAAATAACGTGAGCTTTGCAATGCAACCGTTATTTATTCACTGTATGGTTTCCATGGTGACGCGTCATTGCTTGTCACGTGACACACCGCAGCACAGCCACAACTGCTCTGAATGAAATATGATCTGCTTTATTCAAGTATTGCAGGAAAAAGGCAAAATGAATGTGTGATGGGGAGGTTGGTTCGGTGAATGGGTGATGGAAGGAGACACAGGGTCGGCGAATACTGGGGCTCGTGCACTTTATTGAGTTACTTTCTCTCCCCACAGCGCTTACTCGCGCTCACAAAATTAATTCAGAATATTTCAAAAATAAATCACATATAAAACAGTACTCTTCCCGCTGGATACAGCTTCTCAGGTCACAAATGCAGCAACACTCTTTCCACAGTGTGCACGAGCAGTCTCTCTCTCCCCACTCTGTCAGCACGGCCGGCTTACCGCTCGGCTCCGTCCTCGCTCTCCCGCTACAGACATCGCTGAACCATGCCCCCTCGCCATCGAATGCAATCTTTATGACAATATTTTAAATAATCGACGGGCTGGATTAAACAGCCTAACGGGCCGTATATGGCCTGCGGGCCGTATTTTGCCCACCCCTGGTCTAGAGAGTCCATTTTTGCACTCAGGTCTAAGTCTCATGGCCCTCCAGAGTTTTGAGAAGATTGGAGAAACTCAAAATTTCGCCCCCCGAAAAAAAACAAAAGAGCGAAAAATAGAGGGCCATGAGACCTGAGTGCAAAAATGGAGTCTAAATAGACCCTTCCTGAGCTGAGATATTGATATCCTACGTAGCTCTTATCCCATTATAAAAATAGTGGGTTCGCGGACGGTGGAATTTCGGGATGGCCCTTGGTGCCACAGACTCAGGGGGCCTCCCTGAGTGCAGTAAAATGTTTTTTATCCCAAAATTTTGAAAGCTAAGCTTAAAAACCATGTGTCCACAAACCCAATATTTGTCCAATAACTCACTATTTTTATAATGGCATAAATGGTAAATGGACTGCATTTATATAGCACTTTCATAGACCTAATGGCCACCAAAGTGCACCAAATGGCCATATTGCCTCACATTCACCCATTCATACACCGACGGCGGTGTCAGCCATACAAGGCGCCGTCCAGCTCGTCGGGAGCAGCTGGGGTTAGGTGTCTTGCTCATGGACACCTCAACACTTGGTCAGGTGGAACCGGGGATTGAACCACCAACCTTTCGGTTTGTAAACAACCTACATGAACGACTGAGCCACTGCCACCCCTAAATGCTATGTGGGATCTCAATATCTCAGCTCAGGAAGGGTCTAGAGACTCCATTTTTGCACTCAGGTCTAAGTCTCATGGCCCTCTATCAGAATCCAGAGTTTTGGGAAGATTGGAGAAACTTAATTTTTCGCCCAAAAAAAAAAAAACGTAAGGGGTACCACTATCGTTTTTTTTCGGGCCGAATTTTTGAGTTTCGATATCTCAGCTCTGGAAGGGTCTAGAGCCTCCATTTTTGCACTCAGGTTTAAGTCTCATGGCCCTCTATCAGAATCCAGAGTTTTGGGAAGATTGGAGAAACTTAATTTTTCGCCCGAAAAACAAAAAAAAACGAAAGGGGTACCACTGTCGTTTTTTTTTGGGGGTCGAATTTTTGAGTTTCGATATCTCAGCTCTGAAAGGGGCTAGAGCCTCAATTTTTGCACTCAGGTCTAAGTCTCATGGCCCTCTATCAGAATCCAGAGTTTTGGGAAGATTGGAGAAACAAATTTTTTGCCCAAAAAAAAAAAACGTAAGGGGTACCACTGTCGGTTTTTTTTTGGGGTCGAATTTTTGAGTTTCGATATCTCAGCTCTGAAAGGGGCTAGAGCCTCAATTTTTGCACTCAGGTCTAAGTCTCATGGCCCTCTATCAGAATCCAGAGTTTTGGGAAGATTGGAGAAACTTAATTTTTCGCCGAAAAAAAAAAAAACGTAAGGGGTACCATTGTCGTTTTTTTTCGGGACGAATTTTTGAGTTTCGATATCTCAGCTCTGGAAGGGGTTAGAGCCTCCATTTTTGCACTCAGGTCTAAGTCTCATGGCCCTCTATCAGAATTTGGGAAGATTGGAGAAACTTAATTTTTCGCCCAAAAAAAAAAAAACGTAAGGGGTACCACTGTCGTTTTTTTTTTCGGGCCGAATTTTTGAGTTTCGATATCTCAGCTCTGGAAGGGGCTAGAGCCTCCATTTTTGCACTCAGGTCTAAGTCTCATGGCCCTCTATCAGAATTTGGGAAGATTGGAGAAACTTAATTTTTCGCCCCAAAAAAAAAAACGTAAGGGGTACCACTGTCGTTTTTTTTTCGGGCCGAATTTTTGAGTTTCGATATCTCAGCTCTGGAAGGGGCTAGAGCCTCCATTTTTGCACTCAGGTCTAAGTCTCATGGCCCTCTACCAGAATTTGGGAAGATTGGAGAAATTTTTCGCCCAAAAAAAAAAACGTAAGGGGTACCACTGTCGTTTTTTTTTTTCGGGCCGAATTTTTGAGTTTCGATATCTCAGCTCTGGAAGGGGCTAGAGCCTCCATTTTTGCACTCAGGTCTAAGTCTCATGGCCCTCTATCAGAATTTGGAAGATTGGAGAAACTTAATTTTTCGCCCAAAAAAAAAACGTAAGGGGTACCACTGTCGTTTTTTTTTTCGGGCCGAATTTTTGAGTTTCGATATCTCAGCTCTGGAAGGGGCTAGAGCCTCCATTTTTGCACTCAGGTCTAAGTCTCATGGCCCTCTATCAGAATTTGGGAAGATTGGAGAAACTTAATTTTTCACCCAAAAAAAAAACGTAAGGGGTACCACTGTCGTTTTTTTTTTCGGGCCGAATTTTTGAGTTTCGATATCTCAGCTCTGGAAGGGGCTAGAGCCTCCATTTTTGCACTCAGGTCTAAGTCTCATGGCCCTCTATCAGAATTTGGGAAGATTGGAGAAACTTAATTTTTCACCAAAAAAAAAACGTAAGGGGTACCACTGTTTTTTTTTTTTTCGGGCCGAATTTTTGAGTTTCGATATCTCAGCTCTGGAAGGGGCTAGAGCCTCCATTTTTGCACTCAGGTCTAAGTCTCATGGCCCTCTATCAGAATTTGGGAAGATTGGAGAAACTTAATTTTTCGCCCCAAAAAAAACGTAAGGGGTACCACTGTCGTTTTTTTTTCGGGCCGAATTTTTGAGTTTCGATATCTCAGCTCTGGAAGGGGCTAGAGCCTCCATTTTTGCACTCAGGTCTAAGTCTCATGGCCCTCTATCAGAATTGGGAAGATTGGAGAAACTTAATTTTTCGCCCAAAAAAAAAAACGTAAGGGGTACCACTGTCGTTTTTTTTTTCGGGCCGAATTTTTGAGTTTCGATATCTCAGCTCTGGAAGGGGCTAGAGCCTCCATTTTTGCACTCAGGTCTAAGTCTCATGGCCCTCTATCAGAATTTGGGAAGATTGGAGAAACTTAATTTTTCGCCCAAAAAAAAAAACGTAAGGGGTACCACTGTCGTTTTTTTTTTCGGCCGAATTTTTGAGTTTCGATATCTCAGCTCTGGAAGGGGCTAGAGCCTCCATTTTTGCACTCAGG